GATTTCAATGAGATGCTGTTCGCAGTTGCCACCCACTAGTGTAAAACAAGTCACTTTCCATGTGCGATCCGTAGCTGGATGCTCCCTGGAGAGGCAGTGGATAGCTGCAAAGGGAAGGCTGTTTCGGTGGTGGATAGTCATAGTACTTGCTGGTGTAGTAACGAGTGGTGCTGAGGTGCACCTTCAGTCCCTGTCTTTAGGAAGCGTGGGAGAAGGCTGTCCTGTCCCAGAGCCGCTCTGGTCTGTGAGCTGTCTGTGGGATTCGCGCTTTTGTTTCCTGGTTTTCAGACGTTCAAAAATACCTTTACTATTAAAAATTGAAAGTAGGTTCAAAGAGTAAATAAGACTTCACATAGGAGTGAAGGACGTAGACAATTATTTTAATCTCGCAGGTTTTACTGCGCTGCATAATTGCAGTCAAACATTTATGCAAGTGCTGAACTCCTTGATAAAATGCCAACACAAGGCCACGCCCGGGTACCTGCTGGAGATGGCCTGCGATGTGCAGTGTGCTGTGGGCTTGGAACAGCATCGGCCTTCCAAATAAAGGAGTTCTGGACAATTCTGGTGCTTGAAAACCAGTGCTACATTGATCTGAACACCAGGTACCAGCAACAAGGACAGTGTGGTTTTGAGCAGCATAAGATTGTCCTAATGCAGAAGTATCAGTAGTTTCATATTCTTTTTTTTAAAAACTGAGAATTTACAAAAGGATATTTAATGAAATGAAAATAGCTTGCCAGTAATTAGTGTTACTCAGTGAATAAAAGGCAGGTGAGTATACAGGGCTGTAATGTTGCAGTGGAAACTTAATAATAGTTCATACAAGAGCAAGAATCTGGCTTTTTTGTTTGTTTTGTGCTTGGCAATTCTTTTTTTTTTAATTTTAAGTTGTTACTTAAAAAAAAAAAAAGCTGCTCTGTACTATACAAGATTCAGAAAGTAAAAGTGGCCAGTTCCCTGTCAGGAGCCTGTTGAACTTTGTTACACTTATCTTAGGGAGTGTATTTATAAAGAGGTTAAAAATAATTTAAACAGTAGAGAAACATGGTTTCGAGTCATTTCAGTAGAGTTTTTGTCCTCTTTGTGTGTTTAATAGTATTTTGGGCTTGATGCAGAACTTACTGCAGTCACTGTGAGCTCTTACACTTATTCCCCTGTTCTTGGGCTGCACTCTTGTGTCTGCACTGCATTTTCCATCTGGCTTGGGTTTTTTTGAGAAGTCTCAGAACTCAAGATGCAGTTGCAGGGTTTTTAAAATACTACATTTTAAGCTGAATCCACTTTTTAAATTTCAAACCTTTAATTTTTCTTTAAACAGAAGAAATGATTACATAGTATTGAAAATAAAAACCTTAACTCCTTGTTGGTTATAAGTGAAAGGTTGCATGTACTTTAATGACTGCCTTCAGTGTTACACTTGAAGATCAGATAGCACCTCTGAAACAGTGTTTTCTCCGTTTCTTGTGCTGTGTGTAGCACTCTCTCTGAACATACCCAAACTCCAACCATCACATCTCAAGACACAAGGTCTGTCTACAGGTTTCTACATTACAGATGGGAAAACCAACGCAGCAAGGTCACGTCCAAGGTTGGTCACAGAGTGGGAAACGAGGACCCATTGAAATTCTCACTGCAGTCTCCTAACCTTTAGTTACGCTCCTCCGGTGCTCCTTTAATTATGTTACTTGGCAAAATTAACAGGTGGAGAACAAGAACAGGAATTTATCCATTTACTGGCTGCCTAGATGCTTAAGTATTATTGTGAAATAAGTATCTGGGCTATATCCTTTTACATCATAAAGTAATTTTTGTCCCTTTGGAGTTGCTCAGGCCCATGTTAGATGCAATACCTGCTGTTAATCTGTGCTGTTTGGAAGTATTTAGTAGCTCGTTCACTTTTTAAACAGGAACATTATACTGCAGTTGTCTGCCTCTGTAGCTCTGAGGCAGTTAGATCTTTATTATGGGGCTTGAGAGTTGCCAGAAAAAAAGACAAAACAGCCCCCTCTCACACCCTTCAATTGTGAATGCTGAATCTCTTACTGCTCCTGATGTACTAGGCACAAAAACCCTAAAAGCACACCTTGTGGGTGTACTACTAAATTGTATTTGTGGGGATAGTAGTATGGGAAAAAAGTAAATAAGTCCAACATGGAACTGATGACTTTGGAGTGGCATACCAAATCTGAAGCACTTCTAGTACAAGAAAAGTGATTTCTCTTATAAATTGGATGCTGTCCTAAGCACGTAGTTCAGGCAAGTCCTCTGCTGAGGCAGCCTTGATTCTCCATGACCTTTGCAGTCCTGCAGTGTGCGATGAAAGGAATTGCCTGGTTTGCACCCATCTGTCCCCTCGTTCCGCTGTCCGTTATTTCCGCAGCAGCACAGGGTACAGCCCTGCCGCGCTGTAGCGATTTACTGTGCTCTGGGATTCTGAACGTGCATTACTGCAAAGGCTTCACGTTTCCGTTTTAAGAGGAAGATATCCCCAGTCATTTTTAGGTAGTTTTTTAGTGTCTTCTAGACTGTTTAATTCCCCCTCTCATGTGGTGGACTTGAGGGAAAATGGCGAGCAATTTGTATATTTGTTTTAAATTTTTCTTTGCTTTCTTACAAGGTTTTACAGTTTTGTAATGATATCTGTACTGGATTCTTACACTTCTTAATTCAGCATCCAATTTTTTAACCTGAATCTGATGATAAAATGTAGGTGGTTAAGTTTCCAGTAATGCGAAGCTATGCTTTTTCTGGTTTGTTTTCTTAGCTTAGTAATACACCTGAATTACAGAGTCAGCCCTCCCTTTTCTGTGTCTGCAGTTGTTCTCTGGGCCAGAAGCAGCGTAACGCTCTCATCTGAACCTGTGAGGAAAAGCTGCTGCATGGGAGCTGCGCTGCAACTGGGACGTTATGGGGGAGACGCCTGTCATATGTATAATGGTTTTAATAGACCTAGAAAATTGTCTAAACGCATTTTCCTTTCCTAGTTTTAGAGCGAAGGTGCTTGTGATGCATGTTTATTAATGCTGAAATACCTACTGGTTAATTGGCTTATTTTGTTCCCAACGTTTGATGTGTTACAGCTAGTGGGGAGTGGGGTTTATCCCGTTACGTGCTGTGGAGTGGTGTTTGCTGGGACAGCTCTGTACGTGTGGAGTGATGGGCGCGTTCGTGTCCTGCGTCTGTCAGGGCAGAGTCACCGTGGGGTCAGCCCTGAGCTCGGAGGCAGCTGCAGGGCTCTGTGTGGATTTGCAGTTTCAGTGATCCTAAAGAGTCTCTTATAGCTGCGATAATAAGGGTTATTTTCTTTTGAATATTTTGGGTTGCTGTATCCCTGTAAATGTGCTTCGAGGGGTTATTTTTGTGTGGGTTTTATGTTTTCCTGCTTTAAGGAAATAGGATAATCCTCTTACGCTTTTTTTTTAAAGCCCAAACTGTCTGCAATATTGCATAAATCTCACAGCAGTGGAATTTGGGGATTAATTCTCAGGTCTAGACTAAACAGTCAGTTTTAGTGTTGTGAAGATTATGTTGAACATCAGTTCAATATCCAGCACTCCAAGGTTAAACTTCTGTGTCCCAAGTATTCTCTTGCTTTTGTAGGTGCAGTGGGTGGGAATGGAGATGTTCATCTTCTGATGTCCGGCCGTCGGGTGGTTTTTGGTTCACTTGCGTTTGGAAAGCTGCTTTTCCCTTTGGGTTTGCATTTTATCGCAATGCTAAGTTTATGCAGGAGATTACAGCACTTATTAAGTCTCTGCCAGTCAGATACAGAAAGGTTTGATCTGAGATGAGCACAGAGCCATTTTGGAGAAAAACAGACAAACGTGCAGCACTTGTACCAGGAAAACTGGTGTTTTCTTGGTTTTCAGCGTGTAGTGCCTTTGGTTGTAGTTGGCGTTTCTATCATAACAACACGCAGTCTGGTTTTGCAAATACACGAGCACCCGGCGAGGAGTTGGGTGCTGGCAGAGCACCAGTGTTGCTGTATAAGCAACATTTTTCCTAACCTATGTGGGCACGCAGGCGTGTGCTTCAGTTCTGAAAGCACTGGGAAAGGTTTATCTTCCGCTGTGGATGACTTTTGAATTAGAATTCAGTTAAAGTGTCTTTACAGCTGAAACTCCTGAATTCAGCAGCAAAAGACTGTAATGGTTATGGGAAGAAAAGAAAAAAGTGGAACCTTGAAATGTTTCTTTTTAGCTCTTACAAAAGTCTCCAGGAAACAGTTGCTACACTAGGGCTTACACATAATTGTAAACATAAAAATGCCTAAATACTTGTTTAGGTGATGCTGGGATCAGTAACCAATCAAAAATGGTTGGACTGGTGCAGAAAGGTACCTTGCTCAGGAGTGATACAGCTGTGAAGAGAGGTATCCTAATGCACACTGGTGACTGCGAGGTACAGAGCAGATAAAGCTGTGTCTTTTCAAGTTACTGGTCTAGGTAAGGCCTGTTGGGCTTGGGTTGATACTTTTCCGAGTTAGCATCAATTTAAGTTGATCATGCAGGAACTGTTAGTTTTCAGTTTAAATAATTGATCTGTTCAGTGACTTTATCCACGTTTAAAAACTGTTAGGAAAGAATTCTTCCAAATCACTGTTTTCCTTCAGGCAAGTCCTAAGGTGCACTTTGTTTCTGTGCGTCACAGAGTTATCAGTAGTTCATTATCAAAGGCACTGATTTGCTTTTGAGAGAGAAAAGCACTTTAAAATGCACTTTTAAAATACTCCTTTACTGTTCTGTGATGTTAATAGCAAGGCATTTTTGTATATTCCTGATGTATCACAAAATAACCTTTTTTTTTTAATGCCTGGTCTCAGAGAACTTTACTTCTCACAGGCACAAAATTTTATTTATTCGTGTGAGTTACTGCCGCTAAAAGCTTGAGCTTCTTTAATATGAAAGCAACCCCTATTGACCTCTAAGCATTTGGAACAATAAATATCCTTACCAATTGCTTAATACCGTTATTAACTTACACTCTGCTTGCTTTGCAGGAGCTTGAAGAAATCCGCAAATGTGGAATGAAAAACTTCCGTAATATCCAGGTTGATGAAACTAATTTATTGACCTGGCAAGGGCTTATTGTTCCTGTGAGTATGGATTGTTCCTTATTCTAATGAGCTTTAAAAGAAAATTGGAATAGTTTGTTTCTCATAAATCCAGAGTTTACTGGTGCTGCTGGAGACCATCAGATCACTATTGCACCTTGACAAGAATCTCTTTTCTTAGTACACAACGTGGCTTTCAGAGTTGTGGGTTTGTGCAGAAGATTGTTTATAACAAGTTTACATAGATTATACTGCAACAACTTCACCACACCATAGGCAGCGAAGTGTGCTCCTGGATTTGATTCTTGTCTCTCTTCAGACATCTTGTGTAATCCTAGGCAAGTAGTGTTATCTTCCTGCCTCATTTTATTTGAGTGTCTTCTGTGTTTTGTTTGTCAGTCTGATAACGTTAGTGGGTGTTTCTCACAAGCAGTGAGAAGGAAAACGCGTAGGTAATTGAAAGGCGTTCCAGGCTTCTCTCATCAGTACCTGCCTGGGTGCTTCATGGCGGTAGGCCTGGGCCAACACGCGGCTGCAGCGGCGAGAGCTGTGGAGTCAGTGGATGGCACTGCGTTACTTTGAGGTGTTGGAAGGAGGAAGCAAGTGAAGTTTGTAGTTTATTATGTTAAGCTTAAAGTACAAAATCTACAACATTATAGGAAAAAATAAGAGGTATGAAATATTTTGTTTACTCCTTAATATATGTATATATTTTTTTAATTGACTAGACTTATTTCTAGGATAAAGTTGAGTATTGGAAAGAGTTTGATGCAAGGAAAAGGACTAGATTTTCAGGAAGTCTCTTTATTTGGGCATTAATTAGTAGACGGGGGGAACCAGACCAAAAAACCACCTTTTCTTTAAAAGCGCTACAGTCACTTAAAAGAATACTTAATAGAAGTAGATAACTGCTGTATCGGTCAAATAGAGAGAGATCTGTTAATAAGGGGAAAGCAGGTATGTGGAATTCCTTGGTTGAATGTCACTTGGATTTTCACCTCCTTTGTTTTCCACTGCTATAGCTCATGTGCCTGAGAGTGACTTTTAAGTCTGTAGGAATAGGGGCTGTGCCACCAGGGCATCAGTTCTGCTTTTCCTCGGGCGCTACCTAAAAGTTCCCCTGACCAGTGTTAATCTGTCTTTGAAACACCTCTTTGTGCCTCTGCTTTGTTGGAGACCATTCCTGAGCTCAGATCGCACAGGCTGAGGTAATGGCTAGGCCTTTGCACTTCAAATCCTGCAGAATACATCTAGTTTACTGTTTTCTTGTATTCCTGCAAGTAATTCCTTTGAGTGGTTGAAGCTGCTCTTGTGAATAAAGCAAGCAGGATTTGAGATAAAAATTTGACAGAGCTGAGAAATAATACGCTTTAATAATATTTGTGATATTTGTGCTTCATCCGTCAGTTTACTGCTTTGATAGTACTGTGAAGCAGAATAAGGTTGGTAAATGTGGCTAATAAAGCCAAACACCAAAAATACTTGTTTGTTGTTGTTAAAATTAGTAATTTGTGGTGTACATCATCTGTTTTTAAGTTTCTGTGATATGATATTAATATTAATAATATATAATTATATTAATTATACTATTCTGTGATTCTGCCCACCACAGTGTGAGCTTGCTGTTTGTTTTGCAGGGGTTCACAACGTCACAGGTGTTTAAACACTGATGCTGTGAACCATGCCTCATGCCTGCCTTTGGGTTTACAATGTGCCTTGTTACAAGGGAGAGAGCCTTAAATTCACTACTGGTGTCGTTCAGAAGGAATTTTGTCATGAAATTCTATTTCCTGTAGTCACAAAGTGTTGTGTTGTACACGTTCAGCGGGTGGTATAGTTGATTGTTTTGTGGATGCGCTACAGAAGATGCTTTAGTCTTAGCATAGATTTAGGTTTTTTTAGCCATTTCGATGCTGGAATTGATGGCATAAAATGTAATACAAAAGCAGTTGAAAGTTTACTTTTTTGCTGAGTTTTTGCTTCTCAAGTTTCACGTGCTGTTTCCATTTTCGAATATGTTTTTGCTTAGGTTTTAAAGACACATTACCCATACTTTAGTAGGACTAACCAGTTACTGATTATTAAACTCTATAACCAGCTATTTGGTCAACTTCTTAATGAAGGTGCGAAAGATACAAAGGTTAATAAATAACAGCACTCATACAGAATTGCTGTGAGAGAAAACAGCTTGAAAAGTTTTTGTTGACGGTAACATTTTGTTCCTCGGAGCAGTTGTTCGTCTGTGAGGGTCTTTGCTCAGCTGAGGAGCAGATTGAAGATAGTTTGTCAGTGTGTTTTCCTGTCCTAAATTGTAGAACAAGGCAGTTTCTGTGCTATATGTTAAAAAGGTTGCACTGTTTGATTTCAACATCAGAACAAGACTGGCTGCCCCGAGCTCCTTGTTCTTGAGGGTAGTGTTGATGTACCACGAATTTCATTTCACTTTATCGAAACTGCTTGCTATGGACAAACTTCTTCCAGAGCAAAAATATTCCAAGTGAATGTGAATTATGTTTGTCATTTGTGTTTAGTGTTTGTAATTCTGACTCCCTTGTCAGTGTCAAATATAACAAATTAGTAGAAATTAATTGCTTTAATATCCTGTGTTTTGTCCATTTAAAGTGTGAGCAACCCTTTACATAGATTTTTGGCTCAATTTATGAGTGAGTTATGGTGAAGAAGTGCTCTGACCGAGAGTCAAGCAGAAAATGGACATCTTGAAGCCAGGTCAGTTCCTGTATCAGTTGACTGAGCAGCCTCACAAATCACAGCGTGTGATGGAGGCAAGAACAAGTGAGCCATGGGGGAAGCGGGCACCAACTGCTGAAGTTGTCACCACCACCAGGAAGTTTTTTGTTAAACCTCAAAAGCTTTTAGGATTGCTTGGATAAAAAGTGAATTTAAAGCCATTCTGGTTATCTCTTCCTTTAACTGCTGTGTTAAAAATGCTGTGTTTCTTAGAAATGTACACCCAGACTTCTCCATATGGATTAAACAAAAATGTGGTGTTTTCTGATGAATGATATTTTGATAGAACACTTCCCACCCCCAAACACTGGTAAACCTTTTTTAACTTCTGGAGCTGGCTTGATTGCAGGGAATGGTCTGGCTGCTAATGAAGAATGTGTGTGATGGTGCTTTACACCGACTGAAAACTCTCACCCATTGATTCTTGTTCCCAGAGAGTTTGGGAAGGCCTCATGCCATGGTTCCTGCTTTCAGTGCAGGACGTTATTTTCCTTCTGCCTTTCTTCTGCAGCGAGGATTTGAAGCGGTATTGATAGCCGAACAGGTTTCCTAAATGACATTCTGGGCATTGTTTTTCCTCTTTCAGCATGAAAAACTACTTTGCTTACTTCAGGGTTCTCTCATCATGCTCCTTCAAAAGTGATCTGATAAGAGCTCGTGCTAAAAACTGCATACAAATTCAGAATGTTCTCATCAGCAGACGCAGTGAATATCTATCTTTAGTACCAGTGAATGCTCAGCAGAGTTTTGTGTAGTCAGCACAAAAAATGCTCTCGGAACATATAGGAGGATCTGACAGATGAAATTGCTTTGCTGTTTGTACCACCGTGTTGTGAGACACATAAAATAACCACGTTTAGAGAAACCGCTTCTACTTGTCAGGCTTCCTGTTTGTGTCTCGGAAAGGGTTTACAGTGTTTTTGAAACACAAAGTTGGGAATAAAACAACTTATTAGATAGGACCTTGAGCTTGGAGTAAATGGGATTGGATGCTTTCTTACCAGGAAAAATGTCAGCCAATGTCAGAACATTGTTACCCTGCTTTTTTCAGGGTGAATACAAATGTTGTAGAGCTTGTGTTGCCTCTCTCTTACCAGACAGGTTTTGATGATTCCTGACACATGGATATGGCAGTGCGTGTTGGAAGAAAGTGCATTTGAAAGAGATCATTTGATAGATCCAAGTCTGGAGTGTGCTTTTTCTTAATTGTATCTGCTAGAATATGCCGGATTTTTGATGTTCTGCCTTCTTGTTGCAGGACAATCCTCCGTATGATAAAGGAGCCTTCAGAATCGAAATCAACTTCCCAGCAGAATATCCATTCAAACCTCCTAAGATTACATTTAAAACAAAGATCTATCACCCTAACATCGATGAAAAGGGGCAGGTTTGTCTGCCAGTAATTAGTGCTGAAAACTGGAAGCCAGCAACCAAAACTGACCAAGGTAGGACTCCATGTGGAGAAACAGCTGGATATCAAGAAACTTTGTGTTGTGTTGAAATGTAAAGCCGAGAGTGTTTCAGCTCGTCAGCTGGCCACTGACTGCTCTTACAGGGTATTGGCTGTCGTAAGGTTTGTGTCATGAATTGCTGCTTGTGAGCACAGCGTGCAGCTCTCTTGGAATCCCATTTGGATTTTGGGACGTAAGGTAATGGTGTTGACAAGGGGCACCCCCACAGACCACAGACTCCTGGTGACTGAAGAGCAGATTGAGGGAGTGTGCTCGGCATCCTTACGAATTCTGCTGGTAGCTTGCATGGGGTTATTTTGTATTTCTTTTTAAACAGTGACTTCATAATCCAGAGGTGTTCAGTACAGTCCTGGATGTTTGAAGGAAAGGGTCTAAAACATGAAGGCTTTGTATATTTTATGATCTCTGCCGTGTAGTTCAGTGATTTGAACATAGGGTTTAATATTATCTAGGGAGTCATAAACAAAACCTGTAATGGTAACACAAATTAACTCTTTGTGCTTAAAAGCTGCGGAGCTTACTGTGTAGAGTGTCTTTGGATAAGAATTTAAGTATTTTAAGGAAAAGTTTCATCAGGGTCTATGGTAGACTGAGCGTGTGAGCTGAGTAGGTTTTTTTTCTTGTTGCTTCCATTAGTTGTTGGGGTGAGAATTTCATCTTTTTCTGGCAGGTGATGATCACTTTGATATTAAGCATTTATTGTTGTACTTAAAGAGCAAGCATCCTTGCAAAAACTGCACATTTTTCAGTAACACGCATTCAAATGAGTAGCAGTTTAGTCCAGTGCAAGAGCCTCAGTGACACTGAAGTGCTCTGTAGGAGAAAGTATTTCCCTCTTCCAGGCTCCTCTGTAAGGTTGTTTCCACTTGAATGGTGTTCCTGATAGTAAACAATGCTGTATCTCAGATTTCCTTTTTCTGTCTGCTTCTGGATGCTAATAAAACTACTTACCCTTTGCATGATCTTGCCCCAGAGACAAAACAGGAAAATTCCTGTAGCTGTTTGAGAAAAGTTCAAGCAGTTGAATGTTGGGGGAAAGCGGAGGTGGCAGCAAGAACCACCTGTGAAATAGATCAGTGAGAGTCTTATGATTTCTTGTTGCTTTATCCCAGATTATCCAGGACAAAGATCCTTTGGAGAGGTGAGAAGGAAGGAAGGAAGGAGTGTGTACAAGATTCCTTTTAACACCTTAGCACTTGTCTTCATCTTGCGACCCTTCTCTAGCGAAGGGACAAGGCACTGTCCCTGCTGAGCTTGAAATGACGTTGGCATTACTTGGTATTGAAGCCATTGTGTGCATGCAGGGAATAGCCAGTGCCTCCCTGAGAAGTGGCAATTTCCTTTTATCCAAAAGAGTGAATAAAAGCTGTGCTAAAATCAGAATTTGGAACAAACCCTGGGTACCAAAATATTGCAAATGTCTGTTTCTGCTGTTTTGTGTGGTTTTTCATGAATTTTTCCTCTTTCTTCAAGAAGTCCTTTAAGTGTCGACATCTGTTGTTGCTACATTGTTGTATGAACCTGCAAAAATATAATTACAGCCCTGCTTCAGTGTCTTTTCCTTTTCATCCAGAACTCTTCTCCACTGAAAAATAAACTTCAGTCTGTTTGCTACTTAGGCCTTTCTCGAGGAAATAATGTGACGTTATTAGTACAGCATCGAAGTGATTAGTTTTGATCAGTCAGGTGTCAAGAAAGCGGAGAGATTCGGTTTATCATAAATCATTAACTCACCTTTCCTGTACTAAAAGGTGCATCTTGCTGTTGTACTGTTTATTAACTTCTGGTTAATGTTAAAACAGACTGTTGTGACAGTGTAGTTTTAAAATGCTGTGGATATTGATACAACTCCTGTTATGACAATCGTCATTTTTCTCTGGCTTGTACGTTAAATACCCTTCACACAGTAAGGCTTTCTCTGTAGCATTTTGGCTTGTTTGAGTGCAAAGGGATTGCCACACGCAGTATTGATGCTGATTTTCGTAAGTAGTCATTAATGTGATGACAGTTGCCAGAAGTCTAGGAATGGTGATTTCCTGTGAAGTAAGCGAATATCAATTCTGCATTCCCTGGATGGTCTGTTCAGTTTAAACTCCGCTTTGTGGTAAGAAATGTTCCTGCTCAGCAATATGGTGACACGGGTTATTCCTCTGGATTTTGAGTATTTGTTTTGAGGTATGTTCCTTTCAGGCAAGGGCGGAAAAGAGCATGAAAAGATTGATGCTCTGGTATTCTAGCACCTACCGGAGTGGTGAGCACTGTGAGAACTCTGCATTGCAGAACGAGAGAGGATGCGGTCAATCTGCTAAGCAGCAGTTTCGGAACGGACGACAGACTCTGGCTTTCCAGGCAGTTTGTGGCTGAGCCGTGAGCTCCCTGGCGCTGCATGGCGTAGGTGTCAGTGTCTGGTGCAAGTTCAGGAGGAGGCAGGTGGCTCTGGTGTGCAATGTATGAAGTTAACGAAGTTTTGTTTTACTGGCTTTAAAAACTCATGGGGTGCTGCTTTGTATTACTGTGTGTGGCACAAACTTCCCTCAAATGGAGTATCACTGATATTGGGGTACAGTGAAATGCTTTTGCTGTGTCCCCACTGTCTGTAGACTTGTCCAGTTACACAGACTCCTTTTAGGGGATGGATAGGAGAACAACTCATTGTTGAAACCAGTCGAGCTTCAAATGGGCCTGAGAATGCATGTGAGGGAAATGTAGCAATAGATGTCATCGTATGCGAGGTTCACTGCGTAAATGTACAGTTCAGCTATTTCAAGAATTGCATTTCCTTTGATAGCGATAGGGAAATGCTGCTGAGATGGCAGTGAACAGCGGGGCAAAAAGCCTCTCGCAGCTCTCACCCGTTTGTTTGCCCGGTGTGTCTCCACTCGTGGATGTATTTGGCAGTTCAGAGTAAAGGAAAGAATTGTCTGCTGCTTACAGGGGAAGTAAGAGGCATAGAAAAATAAAGCTGAAAAATGAGCATTTCCAAAGGCAGGCCCTGTTACAACTGCATCGTTGTGACAGGTGTTAGGGAAAAATGTTTCACGATGGAAATTCCATCCACCCGGTCCCTTGCAGGTGAACTTCCCTGTTTAACTTGTTTTCTTTCTTGGCCATATGAGAGTATTTCAGATAGGATGCCAGTTACATGGGAAATAATTTGTAGTGCATTTTGGTCTCTATTCAAGTTGATTTTGTTTACAAATACGATTTTCTGGTGTTCATTCACGGTCATTGAACTAAATCTTGGCATATTGCTACAGTTTATTCATGCTCTGCTTTTGAAAAGACCCTAGATTTATGGGGATGTATTTAAATGCAGTTAAAGCGCTTTTCTTACTGGGGAATTTTGCTTACACTTTGATTTTTGAAAGTTAACCATCTTGGTCTCTGACGTTATCTGTACTTCTTTTGACAGTAATCCAGTCCCTCATAGCACTGGTGAATGATCCACAGCCCGAGCACCCCCTGCGGGCTGACCTAGCTGAAGAATACTCTAAGGACCGTAAAAAATTCTGTAAGAACGCTGAAGAGTTTACAAAGAAATATGGTGAAAAGCGACCAGTGGACTAAAATCTGACACAGTTGATGTCAGCAACGTATGGTAGAAGATCGGAGCAGTGCATTTGAGACACCCCGTAAAGCAGGACTCTATGGAAAATTGACAAGTGCCACCTTTCGGTGTTAACTTGTGGCTGTTACTAACTTTCTACAGTTTTCTTAATCAAAAGTGGGCTAGGTAACCTGTAAAGAAAGGATTAAAATTTAAGATGTTCTAGTTCTGCTTTCTTTGTTTAAAAATCACTGCTTCAATATACTTTAAAGTATGCTGTTTTCTTTTTCTTGTCAGAATTTATCAAAAATATCTTAGACTTATATTCTGCCCTTAAATTGAAAAGGTTGTGGCTGTCATTTCTTATTTTTCCTTGCAGTTCCCACTATCTTAAGTTCACTTAATTCTTCATTGAATTTTATCCCCCTCCCCAAACTGATGTCGTAGGAAAAATAGCCCAGTTCTGGCAGAAAACGATTGAGTGTTTGGCAGTTTTGTTTACTTTTCTTTTTAAATGTTGCACTGTGCTTTATGGGACTTCCCCTGAACTTCAGTTTGTAACACAAACAAAAACCAAACTAACCCCACAAAAACAATCGGAAATAATGTCCAGGTCTTATGTAAATCTGGCTGATGTTACCACAAAATGTTTATTAAACGGGGAAACCCAAGTTTTTGTGTGCGTGGTTGAATTAAAATATGGCTTATGTCCCGCTTTTGGAAAAAAAAACCTTTAGCAAACAAGCAGTGGAGTGTGATGAGAAACTTCTTTCACATCTGTTCATAACGCCTATGCAGAGCAGCCAGGAAAGCGTGCACAGAACAACATTGCAACCCGTTTGGAAGAGTTTCAGACATTGGGGACCAAGAGGTACCAAAGTGATAACTGTTTTTGAGTTAAAAATCAGTATTTTGGAAATGATCATTTTGAGTCTGAGTACTGAATCTGACAGCTCTGCTACATTTTTCCATTGGAATGCCTGAGAAGCACCTGTGTTTTATGGGATGGCACTCGCGCCGCTTCCCAGCCCAGTTGCTGTACAGTTCCTACTGCAAGCGGTGTGAGAACAGGATCAAGCAATAACCTGTGACAGAGCTCACCTCACAGCTGCTGTTCCTGTGTTCTGGAAACACCCAGGTTGGATGATCTCATGAGTACTCGAGTGCCATCCTGTCATTCTCCCTGCAGCAGGCAGAGCTGTTTGCCCATTGCTCCAGGGCACACCCACGCATGCTGAAGGAAGCCCTTTTTTGTTTTTTCTTCTGTTCTTTATTTTCCAGAATCGAGCATCCTTTGCTGTGGCTCTGTTGCTTTTCTCCTGAGCGCCCGTATTTTTCCCCGCAGCGTCAGGTGTGATCAGAGCTCCACAGCCAAACTGCCACACAGTCAAACTGCCGGCTCCTCCCCGCCTGTCGAACTTGGGTACGCTACTGAGCACACTGATTTGTCTCCAGAAATTCACGGGTGTCTGGGAGCTCCTCTCACTTTGATGTGCAGGAAGCTGAATTAGAGAACCCCTCAAACCCAGATGGTTGTGTCTGCTCCTGAATTCAGTTTTAGTACAGCCTCTGCCTTTGCAACCTTTCTGAGCTAGTGTCAGCGGTAGGCCTCCTTTGGTTTTAATGTCTTGTATATTTGCTCTTTCTTCATTCATGCCTCTCATCCAGCTTTTATTTCCCATTTAGTGTAAACAATGACAGCCCAGTACCTCACCTCTGTTGAAAGTAAATTTTTTTATAAGTTAGGGAGCTAAGGAATTTTATGTTGAAAGTGTTCTTAGACAGATCCTTTGGCAGGTAAATAAAGTTAAAACCACATTCACCTTATTTACGGAAACTTGCATTTCCTAAGTGTTTCCAGGCTTGTGAGAGCACTATCTATTACCAAATTTTCACATCTTTGTGTCTTCATTTGCAGAAAGTTGGTACTGATTTGTTTCATTCACGCTCACTCGGATTCATAATAAAATAATGCCAAATTATCTGTCAAAGTGTGTGTAACTTCCGCATCATGAGAGTCACTGTACCTTTGGATCATGTCTGTTGGCGTGGCAACTTGCCACTCTCTCTAGATTTTCTTTCTTTAAAACAAAGCAGTAGCACCAGTTGGCTGCCCTCATTCCTATCAACAGTAACCTTTCTGGTTGTAAGCCTCTCAGGTCCAAGACTGCATTTATTTGAACCGGTGGGACTTGGATGCTGCTGACAGGGAGCTGGAAGGGCTGTGTCATTCAAGGAACGCCACTCAATTCGTGCAGGACTCGGCAGCGCTGGTCCAGCTTTTCCAATTTCATTGCCAAGGTCACACAGAAGCCACATCTTGCTGTCAGTTCTTTGTGTGTTCCTCATAGTTCAATTTCTAAGCTACGAGATGTGTAACCTAAGCGAGGGCTTGTGTTTGTAGGCAGCCCTCTGAAAAAAGACAGATCAAATATTGTACTGTATGGTTGAAGTCCGAGAAGGAAAATCAGAGTATGAAGTCCTATGTTAACTCAGGAAATCAAGCTCTTGTTCTCTCTGGTTCCCTAAGCCATGCTGAATTCTAAATGTGCAGTTCAATATCCACAATAAAAACAACATACTGGTGAAACTACACCCAGGAGTGCTGGTATAGGCTTTCTGCAATTCCATTCTGCTACCCTAATAAAAATTGCTCTCAAAGGCTTTGTGGCATGGTTTTATTTTCAGAGAGATTTGGGGTTCAGACTTCATTTTTTTTTTTTTAAATATTCCAGTACAATGACATTTGTAGGTAGTGGCCTGAATGTGTCTGTAATTTGAACTCAGTGTTGTCCTTAAAGCTTTCACAGAACCACTGAGAAACGTCCTTATATCGGTATATTTTACACAATTGAGAGGTTCTTTATTTGGAAATCTTTTGGTAGTTCTTTCTTTATTTCTCCATTTAAAACTCCCTTGAATTTTAAAGAAAATGCGGGGTTTAATGCTGTTTGTTCAAACGGGCCTCTCCCTGCATGTGAATACAGCACCATCGGGCACTAGGTGGCACTCACCGGTCTAACTTGGCTGGACCTTCAGCTGCCTTCCCTGTCTCTTGCGGGTTTTTAATTCTGTTACCACGTAGCAGGAACCTCGCTGTCAAACACCGACGGGACAGCTTCAGCAATGGAGTCGTTCCAAAAGGCAGCTCTCATCTGACTCGGCTGTTTGCCGTGGCACATGCACAGTGCAATGGATGGGTTCTTCAAAAACAAATTGTTTTATCCAGCTGGCTCTGTGATAATTTAGGAAAGAACCTGGGAAAATATTTTCTAGAGCATCCTTGGTTATATTCTTAATATTTATGCAGAAAAGAAACTGCCTTAGATGCTTTATAAGAAAGGTAGGGCAGCTCCCATTACTGACAGACATCCTCAGCACATGGCAGGCAGGTGTGGTAAGAGCAGACGGGGTGGGTTTGGTTTGCTTACAGCTGCAACTAAAACCAAAAGCCCCTGAAGCATTACAATAGAAAAAAGGCCTGAGTTTATTTTTCACTTAAAAGAATGATGATCACACTGAAAATTTTAATGTTAAAACAAATGGTGAACCAAAAATGATTACGTTAAATAGATCACTGTAGTGCAGAAAATGAGCATAAACAACTGACTGTGGTTTTTTTTCCCATGTGAAAGTTACATGTGAGTGACGGGGCTACAGCTGATGCAGTTAAACACACTGGTAGTGCTGGGGCTGGTTGAAGTTCGAATGCTTTGATGACAGGAACACAAGTGGACAGACACAAGGGCCTTTTCCACTTGAGCACGTGCTCACCGTGGGTACGCAGCCATCCCACGCGTACTCCGTGAGAGGCAGCGCAGGAACAGTTGCTGGTGAGCTCCCACATGCAGCAGTCACTGGAACAGCAGATGGACCAACAGTTGCTGTTCTTGCAAAGTCATCCAAAATAAAAAAAATAAAAGGCAAGGAAAGAAAAGGCTCTGTGAGGGCTGTGGCTGATGTTACGGTGACTTAATGCCAAGAGGGAACAGGAATAGGAAGAGCTGTAATTGCTGCTGGCTGAGGCCGTACGTGGCATGTGGCTGCAGACGCCAGCAGGCCAAACCCACGATCCGACTGCTGTGACCAGAGCAAGGCTCTGAAGTGATGTGTCCCTGTGCCCCTCACCATCGATGGGCAGGCACAAGTGAGGGGAAGGGACCACAACTGGGTGGTTGAAGAAGTCCAAATGCTGAAGGTTTCCAGGTCTGCTGTGGACAACCTACACCAAGCAGTTGCTCCAAAGCAGCACTTGCTCCCCAGCATCTTTCTTATTTTTCAGTTGAGTCCAAAAAGAGAAATTATCAGGACCCTCAGGGTGCTGCTGTGCTCCTTGGTCTCACAGCAAAGCCTGTCTTCATGCTGCTCACCATTGCATTGGCAGGAGCTGAGGCAGGAGGAGAGCTGGGCCTCAGCTGCCACACTGTGCAGGAGTGGTGTGTGAACGGGTGATGCGGAAGAGGTTTGTCATGGTCAGAGCCGATGCTGTGGCCCAAAAAACTGCCAGTCAGGACTGAGGTACTGCCTGTAGCTGCTCCCAGGGTGTGCCCAGCTCCGGTCAGCTGAACCAGGAGCTATTGCACTGGTAACTGTGGTCTGGCTTCTTGGGACATTATAAACTGCCTACCTTCATTCAAAGTGCGAATAAATGTATGTATGCGTGCTCGTTTACTTAAAGATCCTTGAATGAACAAAGCTGAATGTTCTTGGTTTTGTAATGGCTCTGCAGCTCTGGCTTAATTAACGTCTGGAGTTCATGGAGCCGCTCCCAGGACTGGGAGAAGTCATCTGGTCCTTCCCCACAGCCGCCGACGGGGGGGACGCTCGGGTACCCCGGGTGCACCATCAGTTCAATCGTTACCGTCCTGCCCGGTGCTGCCGCGTCTGCGGGTGAGGAGGGCGCCTTGGACGTGAACTCCACGATGGCGGCGTCGATGGCGCTCCAGATGTTGCTGACGGACATGTTCTTGCCCATGGTACTCAGACCTATGTAAATGTCTGGCCACCTGCAGCCAGAGGAGGGAACGCTGGTATTAATGCTAACAAGGGAGTTAGAAAAGAGTGTTATATCCAGTGGATTAGAAATCAAAATGTATCTAAAACTGAGGATAGAAAAAGGGCAGGGGGAGAGATACTAAAACTTTTAACTATAAACAGAAGTAAAACTAGAACTATGAGCCAGTAATGCTCGTCTTTCCTTATCAAAACCAGGATATTATTAAAAGCAGCAGTTCTGCAGTCTGACAAAGTCCCAGCACAGCCTCAGTGCTGCTGTTAATAATGCTGCTCTGTTCACACATCCTGTGTCACAGCACAGGGCTCTTTGGCACCTGTGAGCTTATTTTGTGGGCACAAAAGGGAAGAGCAGAGCTAAACTGAGAAATACCAAGCTACCAAAATAACTTACTATTGCTAGGCCAATTAGGGTAACCTGAGCAATAACATCTCCCAGTTATAACCCTCAGCTAAGTGAAACAAAAAAAAAAGTGACTGAAATAAAGTGGCAACTGCCCACTCTGCTAAAATGTATCAAAGAGCCGTAATAAAAGACAAATCGCTGGCCAAAGTGGTGTCACTACTGAAGCCCACACAGCCAAGAGGAAGCCAGCCAGAGGCTGTTTCTTACAGAGCTTCAACACAATTATTTGTTCAAGTCTGGCTGCAAAACCTC